CGTAATGAGGGGTTGGCGTCGTGCGCACGGGGTGACAAAGGAGCGGGCGCCGCCCCAAAAAGGGCTCCGCAAAGACCCCACCGCACCGCGAGAGCGTCGCGCCCGTGGACCGTGGACCGTTTCGGGAGGCTCCCCGTGCTCCGCGGGTCCCACAGGGCCGGCCGCGCGGTGGTGAAAGCCCGGGGCGGGTGAGATGAGCACATTCCTGCAGGGCTCCGCCTGAAGGCGAGCCTGGAGGTCCTGCAGCCCGCAGCGGGACGGCATGCCCAAGCTCCTCGCGGAGCGGAGGCTGAGTTAGATTCTCTATCGACTGAGTGTGAGAACGCTGGCAGTGCGCGGATAAGGCGCGCGACAACACGCACGTCACTCACGTCGTTATTGGCAGCGGCTTTGTTTATTTCGGCTGCGGAAATATACGGCCAATTAATCATGGGGCTCCCCCCGGCTCGCGAGGTGGAGGGCGGCGCGCGGGCAAATCCACACCGCGTCGCGCCTCTCCAAACCGATCGTAAATGACAACGACGCTTTTTCGATAAGAACGGGGAAAATGTGCGCGGTGGAATTCGAGAGGGCTCTTCTGCCACTCAGCGGCCGCCGCGCCGCGACGCTCACGCTGCACCACACAACCCGCCCCGGCCCGGGGCCGGCGACACAAGGTTTTTAGTCTTTTATTGTGGCGATGCGTTTTACTGCCTGTGCCGGGCCGGGGCCGGCCGGGGCTACACGTGATTGACGCCCGTCGCTGTGCTGGGATTATTTTTCGTTATTTCCTTATCCGAGTGAAAATAATAAGAAAACCATTACGATGAAGGGAAGGACTCGGTTTTGTTCTCTCCCCCCCCCCCTCCACCCCCTGCTTTATTTTCAGACAGAAGGCGCGGGCGCGTTGCAAGGCAATGGGGGAGGAGGGTTCTACTGTAACACCGACAAACTGTGTATTCGTATAGCAGCTAATCGTGCTGGGCTCGACGGGCATCTGTGCTGTGAGGCCCTCCTGAGCCGGGGCCGTGGCGGCGGGGCGCCCGGGCCCAAGGCGGCCCACGGCGGCCCAAGGCGGTGCTGCCCCCACACGCTGAGAGCGCGACGCGTCTGGCGGGGCGGGGCGGGGAAGGGGTGCCCCGTGCCCCCGGGAGGCCCGGCCTAACCGAGCCGTGTCTCTGCAGGGTGCACGCGCGCTCCATGCAGGCTTGTGCTTTTCAGCTGGGGCCTCAAAGAGTTTCATACAGCAGACACAGTAGAAAATGAAAATGTCTGCCGAGTACAGCTGTAACTTTGAAAGAAAGAAAAGGTGTTGGTTTGGTTTGAACACGTACCTTCGGCTGAAGGCTGCCTCACATTGGGTGCAGCGGTACTTCTTGTCGCCCGTGTGCAGCTTGATGTGGCGGTCGCGGCTGCGCTTGTGCTTGAACAGCCGACTGCAGAACTCGCAGCGGAACGGCATCTGGTCGCTGTGCGTCTGGAGATAGGGAAAAAGATAGGGAAATTAGAACGATGGAAATAAAAGCGGGTTCAAACCTTCGAATGGGGGAGAGGGAGGGGTCGTACTAGTTTTTTTTTGTGCATTATTTTCATGTCCTTGTTTTTAGCCCGCCCTTCTGCTTTGAAAAAGCTATCCAGCGGGCTTATGCAAACGACCTCGTGT